CGTATTACACCTCACATAATTTGATAATTATCATAAATAGCAATGTCAATAAATAACCAGATATATAAAAATGTTTACAAGATTTTTAACATTTATTAAGTCACCAAAGAGCAGCTGCTACTTCAAAAGCAAAAATTGAGTATGTACAGTACTATATCATCTTTATAAGAAAATATATTTCTGAATTCGGTCACAACTGTGCAAGCAGGGCTCTCAAAATACAACCTCAGTAAATCGATGAGACTCTCAATCTTTAGCAGTGTGAGAGTTAAGGAAGTTAACCCCACTAAAAAAATTTTGGCTATACAGTGCAAACCCCCCATGACCCAATCATATAACCCCACACCACGAGCTTTGTTAACACAACACTTCAAATCATTGTTGATTGACGTACCGGATGATTCACGGTTGAGAGGTGGGACCAAAGAGCCAAAGCTCAACCCCCATAAGCACAACTAGGTGAGTACTTCAAATCATTCCAGAGAATCTAGATTTTCTAACAAAACACTAAAAATGTGACCCAACTTTACATTACAATTTCGAGCAGATTGTATTTTTCCAGAATTTTTACTTCTCTGACTTTTATACTACAGTAAATATTATTTTTAAGAAATATTTTTTAGTGAATTTGTACTGTATTGGTTCTATAAAGTGTACAATGCAATTTGCCCCAGTAACTTTCTTATCACAGCCCATTACAGTACTTTTGATACAGGACATATTCTGATACCTGCTTGATACCTGGTTGATGGGGTTCTGGGAGTTGTTCTACTGCCCAAGCCCGGCCCGAGGCCAGGCTTGACTTGTGAGAGTTTGGTCCACCAGGCTGTTGCTTGGAGCGGCCCGCAGGCCCACATATACCTGGTTGATGGGGTTCTGGGAGTTGTTCTACTGCCCAAGCCCGGCCCGAGGCCAGGCTTGACTTGTGAGAGTTTGGTCCACCAGGCTGTTGCTTGGAGCGGCCCGCAGGCCCACATATACCTGGTTGATGGGGTTCTGGGAGTTGTTCTACTGCCCAAGCCCGGCCCGAGGCCAGGCTTGACTTGTGAGAGTTTGGTCCACCAGGCTGTTGCTTGGAGCGGCCCGCAGGCCCACATATAATACCTGGTTGATGGGGTTCTGGGAGTTGTTCTACTGCCCAAGCCCGGCCCGAGGCCAGGCTTGACTTGTGAGAGTTTGGTCCACCAGGCTGTTGCTTGGAGCGGCCCGCAGGCCCACATACCCACCATAGCCCAGTTGGTCCGGCATGTTTTTTTAGAAAACAGTCTAGTTTTATCTTGAAGATGTCCGCAGTTGTTCCGGCAATATTTCTTATGCTCGCTGGGAGGACGTTGAACAACCGCGGACCTCTGATGTTTATACAGTGTTCTCTGATTGTGCCTATGGCACCTCTGCTCTTCACTGGTTCTATTCTGCATTTTCTTCCATGTCGTTCACTCCAGTATGTTGTTATTTTACTGTGTAGATTTGGGACCTGACCCTCCAGTATTTTCCATGTGTATATTATTTGGTGTCTCTCTCGTCTCCTTTCTAGTGAGTACATTTGGAGAGCTTTGAGACGATCCCAATAATTTAGGTGTTTTATCGCGTCTATGCGTGCCGTATATGTTCTCTGTATTCCCTCTATTTCAGCAATTTTTCCTGCTCTGAATGGGGAAGTGAGTACTGAGCAGTACTCAAGACGGGACAGCACAAGTGACTTGAAGAGTACAAGCATTGTGATGGAATCCCTGGATTTGAAAGTTCTCGTAATCTATCCTATCATTTTTCTGGCTGCAGCAATATTTGCTTGGTTATGCTCCCTAAACGTTAGGCTGTCAGAGATCATTATTCCCAAATCCTTTACATGTTGCTTTCCTACTATAAGATCTGATTGTGTTTTGTACCCTGTATTTTGCTTCAGAGCCTCATTTTTGCCGTACCCGAGTACCTGGAATTTATCACTGTTAAACATCATGTTATTTTCTGCTGCCCAATTGAAAACTTTGTTGATATTTGTTTGTAGTTTTTCAATGTCTTCCGCAGAGGTAATTTTCATGCTGATTTTTGTGTCATCTGCAAAGCATGACACAAAGCTGTGACTTGTATTTTTGTCTATATCTGATATGAGAATAAGGAAAAGCAGTGGTGCAAGGACTGTACCTTGAGGTACAGAGCTTTTAACTGCGCTTGGGCTCGATTTTATTTAATTGACTGTTACTCTTTGTATTCTGTACAACAGGAAATTGAGTATCTAGCGTCCTACTTTACCAGTTATTCCCATTGACCTCATTTTGTGAGCTATCACCCCAAGGTCACATTTGTCGAACGCCTTTGCAAAGTCTGTGTATACTACATCTGCATTTTGCTTTTCTTCTAGAGCTTCTGTGATTTTGTCATAGTGGTTGAGTAACTGTGACAGACAGGATCTTCCTGCTCTAAATCCATGTTGTCCTGAGTTGTGTAGTCCATTATTTTCCATGAAACTAGAAATTTGATTCCAAATCACTCTTTCAAAAACTTTTATTATGTGAGATGTTAGTGCAACTGGTCTATAGTTTTTTGCCAAGGCTTTACTACCCCTCTTGTGCAGCGGAGCTATATCTGCTGATTTAAGTGCAGCTGGTATCTCCCACTGTATCCAGGCTCTTTCTCCATATTATGCTGAGAGCTCTTGCTACTGGTACTTTACATTTCTTAATGAATATTGAATTCCACGAGTCCGCCCCAGGAGCTGAGTGCATGGGCATATTGTCACATTCTCTTTGAAAGTTTTCCGAATTTGTGTTAATATCCGTTATATTATCTGCAGCTTGAATGTCATTCATAAAGAAGTTGTCTGGATCATCAACTTTCATGTTGTTTATTGGTGTGCTAAACATAGCCTCATACTGGCTTCTTAGAATTTCACTAATTTCTTTGTTGTCCTCTGTGTACGTACCTTCAGTTGTAATTAAAGGTTCAATACTGGTGGAGGTTTTTGACTTTGATTTTGCGTATGTGAAAAAATATTTCGGATTTTTCTTTAACTCTTGTATAGCTTTCTGCTCCAATTCCATTTCCTCAGACTTGTATGATCGCTTCAACATTTGTTCTATTTCTTCGATCTCCCTGTTTAGATAATAATTAGGTTTATGTTTTCTACCTTAACTCCAAGTACCTCTACCACCCTCATTAGTTGAGTTTAGTAGCTCTGTGCATACCAGGTCTTCTTTAATATACAGGCCTACTCCTCCATTTGACCTATTTTCTCTATCACATCTATATAAATTATAATTTGGAAACCAGATTTCACTATCCAAGTAATCTTTCGTATGAGTTTCCGTGAATGCCCCAAATATTGAGTTTGACTCTAATAGGAGGCCATTTATGAACTTAACTTTATTTCTTGACTTTGGCTTTAGACCTTGAATGTTTGCAGATATGAATGATTGTCCATATTGTGTGTCACTTCTGGAAGGTTTTGGTAGTTCTCCCTCTTCTCTACCCTGACCCAGGGTGTGCTGGTCTGGCAATGGTTTGTTCAGTTTTGGAGTTGGTACTGTGGAGTGTTGTAGTTTCTGTGTAGTTGGGGGGTGTAGTATGTGTGGGCTTGATGACAAAACGTAGTCCAGTCTTGGGCATTTTCCCCTCTCCATCCGTACTCCTGCAACATTTCTGCCTGTCTGTCCCTCCCTCTGGGTCTGCTGCCTCTAAAAAATTTCCCGGGCTATTATATTGGACCTCCACTTTCATATAGCGCTGTGTACATCTCGCGTGGAAATCAGGGCAATGGAGATCATAGCATTTCCTATCATTCACTGAGAGTTTGCATAACTTAGGGTGAAAATATCTACAATCCGTTCCAAAATGACAGCTGCCTTTCCCTAACATGTTTCGGCATTTCCGTGGGAGCATGAATGTGCATTCCATGCCTCTGGTCCCATATCTGCACTGTCCTTTTGCATAATATCTGCAAATATTTTCATCTGTGCTTGTATTCTTCTTGTTTGTACCCGTGCACGACTTGGCTACCTCTGTGTTTTTGTTCCAACTTTCTCATTTCCGCATTCTTTCTCGGTATTGCCCTTATCTTTCTCCTTGTTGCTTTCGTCTTTCTCATTTGTGTTCTCGTCCTTCTCGTTGTTTCTCTCCTTACTCCTATTACCAGTTTGCTCTTCAATATTGCCTTCATTTTTGTGTACCTCAACACCATGTCCTTCTACATTGTTAATTTGGCTCTCTAAACTTTCAGTCCCTTGGTTGTGTTCTGGCCATCTGACCATCTGATCTTTTCCTCAGTGCTGCTTTCTCTTACTTTCCATCATTCAAGGAACTTCATCCAGATGAATAAAATACTTCCGATAATATTTCAATAATACTGGGCTGCGGGAGCGTTGATCCCCGAAATCAACGCAAGGCATAAGGTAATTAGTGAATAGAAAATATGTCTACCAGCAAGATAAATCAGGGTAAACCGAATATCAGGAAGAGGTCATTTTGCATGAATAAAAATACTCGATTCATGTAGAAAAGTTATCATGTGGAAGATGCTGGTAGACGAGTTTAGTGTTAACAACGGTACTGTTTCTGCCCCACAAGAATCCTTAAAGACAGTTCTAATGATACAGATTGAAAAGTTCTCTGAGACTCAAATTTAAATAGGTTAAATTGAGCCTTTTATAAGTACTTTAGTGTAGTTACTCAGAATAGTGAATAACCAGTAAGTATAAACTTAGCTTATCACACTTGTATTATTATACTCTATTACTATATTTAAATTACAGGTATTGCTTATATACATTATTTGTGTTTAAATGTATGTTCTATTATTTGAAACGAGAAACACTTTTTCTGATAAATTTGAAAAACACTAAAAAATCTTTATTTTAAGCAAATTTGGAACAAGTGTGGAACAATATAGTTCAGATTTTATAAGAGGGTTGCACTGTAGTGTACTTTAATCCAAGCTTCAAGATATATAATCAAGCCCCGTTACTCAAAGTCTTAACAAAATATTCTCAACCAGTTTGGCAACTCACCTGCATTAGTGGCTCTGGGCAATGCCTGCATGGCTCCTGCAGCTGTCATCATCAGCATCTGGCCGGCAGTGGGTCGGATGGTGCTCAAACCGGGTGCGGAAGTTGCCATAGTAGGAAGACCTGTGGTACCACCCATATTATTCATTGCCTGTGGCCGACCAATACTAGGTTGAGACTGAGCCAAAATTCCAACAGTTCCTTGCGTAATGAGAGACTGCTGCGTGCTGCTAGTAGGAATCATCTGCAACACAGAAAGAAACAACTTAGTTTCTAGCACCAAGAACAAAAAAAATAACAGCAAAACTCTTGTCAAGTTACCAAATATTGCAAATATTTGCAATAATCAAATTGTGAAAATACGCTATAGGTAAAATATAGTACTCTATACAGTACCTGTTCTAGAATTTTAAACTAAAACAAATAAACTAAGTGAGACAAATAGCATAAAGTACCAAAGATTTTAATTGTGTACTGCCAAAAAATAGTCGAGGTTATTTGCAACACTCTTATTGTCGCATTGAATGGGGTCTAACACACATTGATCCATCGGAGCAGAATTGCACGGTACAAACATAACACAAACTGCTGCCACTTAACACAATCCCTTACCACAGCATGTTTCACATACAAACCCAGAGTTCTCACACACACACACACACATGTATATATATACCTGCTATGTTTGCTCATCTTACTGGCATTCCTCTAGTCATCTTACTCTCAAATACACTTAAATACATTCTTCACTCATCTACCATCATTCATTCATTTAATGCAAGCCAGCCCATTCCAAATTATCCTCATTCCTTCAGATTATTGCTTTATGAATAATGCATTTTTCCATGACATTTAATCCTTACTTTATTCATATACTAAATACCACAATATTCTTCTTAAGTTGACTATTTATACTACACTACTTTTTCCCATTCATGCATAGCAGCATCTTGCATCCATACATAATGGAAGAAACTATCCCTCTGTCATGTAATCTTTGGGCTGTCTTTCTCATGTTTCTTTCAAACTAAGGCTTTCATTAAACAATTAATTTTTAACAGAAGAATAAAGAAAACTGCAAAGGTCTAATGGACAATACAAAGCGGCTCCTATTTATATCCACCCAAAGTCGTGAACATACGTCTAGCCTACACTTGAAACACTCCAGCAGTCCTATGCCGATTATGTTCCCCTGTAATTTGTTCATTAAATAAATCAACAACCCAGTTTCTAAACCCAAGGTCTTTCCTGAATCTAATCTTATTCAATTTACATCCATTGTTTCATCCTCTATTTTGAGTTGATACATAAACACACATCCATATCCACCTTGTTATACATTTTCCCCGATTTATATCAGTCATGTAATATCGCCCCATTTTTGTCATTTTATGTAAAGCAAATAGCTTCAGGTTTAGAGTTAATATTTTTGGTTTCAATAATCATCTTATATACAGAATTTTAACACCAATTTGTTCACCAATGATTGCTCTATCCTATGCTACAGTCAAAATAATGAATGAATAATATTTAATTTTGTAATTTTTGTTTTGTTTTTATTTAGTGCTGGAGACCGGTTGGTTATGATGAATTTCTCATGTCCTGAACGTGCTTCAGGGTTATTATGAAGACATTTAACAACACCTAAGTGTTGTTTTGTATACCCAGTACAGTACATGTGAGACCCATCACTAACTTTTTTTATTTTGACCTGGAGGGGATGAAGGTTGCTGGGGTTTGAGGGGTTATCTTGAGATGCTTTCGGGGCTTTAGTGTCCCCGCGGCCCGTTCCTCGACTAGGCCTCCACCCTCAGGAAGCAGCCCGTGACAGCTGACTAACACTCAGGTAAATATTTTACTGCTAGGTAACAGGGGTGAAAGAAACTCTGCCCATTGTTTCTCACCGGCGCCTGGGATCGAACCCAGGATCACAGGATCACAAGTCCAGTGTGCTGTCCGCTCGGTCGACCGGCTCCCCGGGTGACTAGAGCTCGTAAACAACAAATCGGCCTTGCCCCCATGCACTTCCTTGAAGTGAGTTTGTACTATACATAAATCTATCATTCCGTGCATACTATAAAATCTGACATCCTTCAGATACTCGTATCATAAACTACATTCTCTACAGTTTTAACCTGATAATCTTTCCATGACCTCTTTTATGACCCCATTCATCATCTACATCAAGCAACTCAAGCATAACTCTACATAAACATCAAAGCCGTCATTACTCAATTAATACATGAACTCCTCACACATAAATCTTTTCACTGAGTATTTACCTAGTTGTGCTTGCATGGGTTGAGCTCTGCTCTTTTGGCCCACCTCTCTCTCTCAACTGTTAGTCAATCAACTGTTACTAACTACTACTAACTAATTTGCATTTTTTCACAGACCACTACACCCTACTTGGATGACAATGGAATATCTGCCCATTTGTTTAAAAACCATTTTAGTGCTGCTAATTTGGCAATACAAATTAAGTCAAGCAAAAGTAACTAGAATAAACTGCAGATGTGAGAAGTGCATAATTAACCCTTTCAGAACCAGCCTACATGTTATGTGTCAACGTTGATGGTGTGTAGCGAGCAACAGAGGGTGCCACCTTTTACTGGCAATGGTGGGCTTGGACAGTGTCTCTTCACCAATGGACCAGAGGTTTGCTTTAATGCTACAGAGATTATTACACTCTCTGCTGGTAGATTCTTAGCCATCTACCGGCGACGTCTCGATGAATCGCAGGAATTCTCATCTTTGAATATTATATTGTTCTTGCAGAAATAACATAGTACGTATAAAACAAAATGCTTGAAAATTAATGTAGTAACAAATCTGCAACTAAGACAGAAATTTAAAGAGACTAATACTATTACATTGTGAAGCTTCATATTCTGATTTTTTTTTTTTTTTTTTTTTTTGCAGGGATATTCCTGCGTGGGCCCTAAGCCTCTGGCTGGCCCACTAAGTGTTGCTTGTTTCTGTTTTACTTGGGTCTAGTATGAGTATTTATGACTCATATGGTCGCTTCAGTAAGATTTTGCCACATGTGTTTAACAACAACTTCTGCTCTGTTGAATCTAAGTTGAAATCTTAATGTGCATATTCTGATGATTTGTTAGTGAATCATCTGATCCAAGATATTCTCAAATAGTTTCACTCGATCATTATTTGAGTGTATAGTGACACCTCGTGCACCTCACACCGTATCTTCTTTCTTTTCTTTTCTTTATTTGGGGTTACTACTCAAGAACATTTACTTTCAAATATTTTGTTATCAAAATCTCTGTCTTATGTTTTAAAATAGTTCCCAAGACAAAAATGAGTACTGTACTGTATTAACTTTTTAATGCATTGTACATTCTATGGTGCAACACTTAAATTATATATGTAATCATGGCTCGCTTTTAAAAGTTAATGAATAAACCAAGGAACTAGTTCAAGGAGTTTTGTAATTCTTTCTGCAAGAATATAGATCAAACTATGCCATGTATTTACATACAAAAATTATGACCATAGATAACTAAGTCATGGAGAAGGCTTCATAAAGCTTTGTAAATTGATAATTAAGTGTCTTGCACACTCACTATTAGTTATCTATTATTGGTTCTGTGCAATAAATCCCACACCTCACACTGCTTTTATTTTTGTAGCAAACATTTGTGTCTATACAATATTCACATATTATTTGTGAACTTTTTTTTGTTATCAAAATCAATGTTTTAACTGTAAAGTGATTTATAAGGTGCAAATGATCCTAGTACAGTACATATAAAGACTTTGTGTGTAGCTGAGCAAGCAGCTGAAAGAGGCAGTTCACTTCCAGACAAGGATATGGGCACCACCCTAAAATGAGTGCTAATACAGTACATGGATTAATGTTTATTGACAATTCTAGGACTTTCCCAGCACGAGGAAGGTGGCAATTCGATCTGAAACCAATAATATAGTACGATACAGTACTTTATTGTAATTATGTAATACTCTCTTCTATACCGAGTATTATTTTCTACAATTTCTGAAGATAATAAGTTAATACTTTTGAAATATTTGTTCCTATGATATAAGGCAAGTTTCAAAATGCAGTACAGGGTACTGAAAGGGTTAATGTTCAACTGAGAGATCAAGGCTCAACATTATATTATTTATGAAGGAAAGTCTCCATAGTAGAACTTTCCTTGTACTCATATTTCATCATGAGCTAACCTTAGTTTGAAACGTGACATTTGGTGGGGAGCACACTTCACTTGCCACAAGGTGGTAGGGTTTGACTGGACTAGAGGAACTGCTTACCCCAACCAGCGATGATGGCCGTGGAGCGATCGTCTTTATCAAACCACCACTCCCGCTGGCGTGCATAATACCCTTGTTTATCTGTCAAGTTCAGAGCAGAATATTAATTCGTTATTTTTAATTAACAAGTTAATTAAGAACATTATACATAGAATCTGTTTATTCTGTTTTACTGAAAAAAAGGCAGGTTGCATTTAAACCGCTCAGCAGAAAGTGGCAATACCTGAATAGAATAAAATACAGCGCTGTATAATGAAAAACACACTATAACTGTACATCTGAGAAACTAATAATATTTCAAATACAATGTTATGCAATGTCATTTTACATTATGCATTTCAACATGGCAAATTGGGCTCATATAACAAAGGAGTGTATCTGAGTATGATATCTTCAACCCATCCTCCTCTTTAGATAGTACTTATTGCAACTATGTGCACCACTCTACATATATACTGTAGTGGCTAAAGCTAAAGCAAACTTAAATATTCCTAGGCCTAGTATAGCACATTATATATATATATATATATATATATATATATATATATATATATATATATATATATATATATATATATATATATATATATATTTATTTGACCATTCTAAGCTAAGCTATACCTGTTTTGGTTAATTACACCTGACCAACCCTTGGGATGGGGTGGTCAGGTGTCGGCCTATATATCTTCCCCCCTTCTCCCTTCTCCTTAGTCAGTCTGGTGTTGACAAAGGCTTTAACAAAGCCGAAACGTTCACCTCATTTCATATTTCTCTGTGGATTTTCCGCATATATATATATATATATATATATATATATATATATATATATATATATATATATATATATATATATATATATATATATATATATATATATATATATAAACATAAACTTGATTAGGTTAAGTTTTCTTTGCAACATCAGTACAAAAACTTTACCAGTTTGTCAAAATTCAATAGTAGTTATTTCGACTTTCTAATTGCCTTTTACGCCAACATATGTACGATGGTCGTCATCGTTACTATAAGTACTACCTAAACAGGAGGATGGGCTGAATTTCTTTTATAAAACAAAAGTAATAGTGTACAGTGCTGCACAATATACTGCTACACCATAAACATTCCATCCATATTTATAAAAGCAACAAAAATATGTCCTTAACAATTGCACCATGAAGTTTTGGCCAAGAGCAGGTACACAGTACGGTGGTTAAAGTAGTTTAGTTCTTGTATTGCGTAAATACATTTATGCCCGAAACGCTTTGCGTAATAGTGGCTTTAGGCATTGTATGTACTAGCTCTACCTATAAGTCAACCAATCTTTGTAAAAATTTCTTGTATGTATGTACCTTACCTAAATAAACATTTTATTTTATTTTATTTTATTTTATCAAATAAGAATTTATTTTAAAGTTCGATGCACAGAACTTTTATTATTTGCCATGAAATTTTCTGGCATAAACATAGTGATTCTACCCAAAAAATTAAGCTTCATATACAGGAACACAATGTTACATGGAATGTGAATCCCACTGTGCTTGAGAATAAAAGGTCCTCAACTTCCACCATTTCATTCACACTTTCTATCAGATGTTCATCTAAATTTGTCTGGCACTTAATACACTCAGGCATTAACAAATTTTCTCTATCTGACAGTGATTTTCATGAAAATTCCATCACATAAATTTAAAAAAAGTGTACCATACATACAACAAGTATTATTTTCTCCAGTAGACCACTGTTTCTTATTAATAATAATAATAATAATAATAATAATAACAAAGCTTATTCAGAAGAATGTGTGTGAACAAAGAACATAAGAGTAATGCACAATTGTAGAGACAGGAGTTACACACACTAAAGCCGCCACTATTACGGAAAGCATTTTGAGCAATCGGCTTTATTACCCTAAATGCCTTAGGATTTACGCCCATATCTGCCAAAGTGCAAACAAACATTTTGTACACAGTGATTAATTTAGATTGCAAAATGTATGGAAAGGTGGAAATCAATTGAATATGTACAGTGCAGCTGGTTTTGTGCACTGAACAAGTTGAGCATGTAGCAGTCCAGCCCTCATCTGTCAGTGGTGGAGTTTGTTGTCAGGAGGTAGGTGGCAGGTGGTGGTAGGTGGCAAGTGGTGGTAGGTGGCAAGTGGTGGTAGGTGGCAAGTGGGTGGTAGGTGGCAAGTGGTGGTAGGTGGCAAGTGGTGGTAGGTGGCAAGTGGTGGTAGGTGGCAAGTGGGTGGTAGGTGGCAAGTGGTGGTAGGTGGCAAGTGGTGGTAGGTGGCAAGTGGGTGGTAGGTGGCAAGTGGGTGGTAGGTGGCAAGTGGGTAGTAGGTGGCAAGTGAGTGGTAGGTGGCAAGTGGAGGTAGGTGGCAAGTGGAGTTAGGTGGCAAGTGGGTGGTAGGTGGCAAGTGGTGGTAGGTGGCAAGTGGAGGTAGGTGGCAAGTGGTGGTAGGTGGCAAGTGGAGGTAGGTGGCAAGTGGTGGTAGGTGGGTAGGTGGCAAGTGGGAGGTAGATGGCAAGTGGATGTAAGTGGCAAGTGGTGGCAGGTGGCAAGTGGTGGTAGGTGGCAAGTGGAGGTAGGTGGCAAGAGGGTGGTAGGTGGCAAGTGGGTGGTAGGTGGCAAGTGGATGTAAGTGGCAAGTGGTGGCAGGTGGCAAGTGGTGGCAGGTGGCAAGTGGAGGTAGGTGGCAAGTGGGTGGTAGGTGGCAAGTGGGTGGTAGGTGGCAAGTGGGTGGTAGGTGGCAAGTGGATGTAAGTGGCAAGTGGTGGCAGGTGGCAAGTGGTGGTAGGTGGCAAGTGGGTGGTAGGTGGCAAGTGGGTGGTAGGTGGCAAGTGGGTGGTAGGTGGCAAGTGGTGGTAGGTGGCAAGTGGTGGTAGGTGGCAAGTGGGTGGTAGGTGGCAAGTGGTGGTAGGTGGCAAGTGGTGGTAGGTGGCAAGTGGGTGGTAGGTGGCAAGTGGGTGGTAGGTGGCAAGTGGGTGGTAGGTGGCAAGTGGTGGTAGGTGGCAAGTGGTGGTAGGTGGCAAGTGGTTGTAGGTGGCAAGTGGGTGGTAGGTGGCAAGTGGGTGGTAGGTGGGAAGTGGTGGTAGGTGGCAAGTGGGAGGTAGGTGGCAAATGGGTGGTAGGTGGCAAGTGGTGGCAGGTGGCAAGTGGGTAGTAGGTGGCAAGTGGGTGGTAGGTGGCAAGTGGAGGTAGGTGGCAAGTGGGTGGTAGGTGGCAAGTGGGAGGTAGGTGGCAAGTGGGAGGTAGGTGGCAAGTGGAGGTAGGTGGCAAGTGGGAGGTAGGTGGCAAGTGGGAGGTAGGTGGCAAGTGGAGGTAGGTGGCAAGTGGGAGGTAGGTGGCAAGTGGAGGTAGGTGGCAAGTGGAGGTAGGTGGCAAGTGGGTGGTAGGTGGCAAGTGGTGGTAGGTGGCAAGTGGGTGGTAGGTGGCAAGTGGGAGGTAGGTGGCAAGTGGGAGGTAGGTGGCAAGTGGGAGGTAGGTGGCAAGTGGGAGGTAGGTGGCAAGTGGGAGGTAGGTGGCAAGTGGGAGGTAGGTGGCAAGTGGAGGTAGGTGGCAAGTGGAGGTAGGTGGCAAGTGGAGGTAGGTGGCAAGTGGGTGGTAGGTGGCAAGTGGTGGTAGGTGGCAAGTGGAGGTAGGTGGCAAGTGGAGGTAGGTGGCAAGTGGTGGTAGGTGGCAAGTGGGTGGTAGGTGGCAAGTGGTGGTAGGTGGCAAGTGGTGGTAGGTGGCAAGTGGTGGTAGGTGGCAAGTGGTAGTAGGTGGCAAGTGGGTGGTAGGTGGCAAGTGGTGGTAGGTGGCAAGTGGGTGGTAGGTGGCAAGTGGGTGGTAGGTGGCAAGTGGGTGGTAGGTGGCAAGTGGGTGGTAGGTGGCAAGTGGAGGTAGGTGGCAAGTGGAGGTAGGTGGCAAGTGGTGGTAGGTGGCAAGTGGTGGTAGGTGGCAAGTGGAGGTAGGTGGCAAGTGGAGGTAGGTGGCAAGTGGAGGTAGGTGGCAAGTGGTGGTAGGTGGCAAGTGGTGGTAGGTGGCAACTGGGTGGTAGGTGGCAAGTGGAGGTAGGTGGCAAGTGGTGGTAGGTGGCAAGTGGTGGTAGGTGGCAAGTGGTGGTAGGTGGCAAGTGGTGGTAGGTGGCAAGAGGGTGGTAGGTGGCAAGTGGGTGGTAGGTGGCAAGTGGAGGTAGGTGGCAAGTGGTGGTAGGTGGCAAGTGGTGGCAGGTGGGTAGGTGGCAAGCGGTGGTAGGTGGCAAGTGGTGGCAGGTGGGTAGGTGGCAAGTGGGTGGTAGGTGGCAAGTGGAGGTAGGTGGCAAGTGGAGGTAGGTGGCAAGTGGGTGGTAGGTGGCAAGTGGGTGGTAGGTGGCAAGTGGTGGCAGGTGGGTAGGTGGCAAGTGGTGGTAGGTGGCAAGTGGAGGTAGGTGGCAAGTGGAGGTAGGTGGCAAGTGGGTGGTAGGTGGCAAGTGGGTGGTAGGTGGCAAGTGGGTGGTAGGTGGCAAGTGGTGGTAGGTGGGTAGGTGGCAAGTGGTGGTAGGTGGGTAGGTGGCAAGTGGTGGTAGGTGGGTAGGTGGCAAGTGGTGGTAGGTGGCAAGTGGAGGTAGGTGGCAAGTGGAGGTAGGTGGCAAGTGGAGGTAGGTGGCAAGTGGAGGTAGGTGGCAAGTGGAGGTAGGTGGCAAGTGGAGGTAGGTGGCAAGTGGAGGTAGGTGGCAAGTGGTGGTAGGTGGTAGGTGGGTGGTAGGTGGCAAGTGGGTGGTAGGTGGCAAGTGGGTGGTAGGTGGCAAGTGGTGGTAGGTGGCAAGTGGTGGTAGGTGGCAAGTGGTGGTAGGTGGCAAGTGGTGGCAGGTGGGTAGGTGGCAAGTGGGTAGGTGGCAAGTGGTGGTAGGTGGCAAGTGGTGGCAGGTGGCAAGTGGGTGGTAGGTGGCAAGTGGTGGTAGGTGGCAAGTGGAGGTAGGTGGCAAGTGGAGGTAGGTGGCAAGTGGAGGTAGGTGGCAAGTGGAGGTAGGTGGCAAGCGGTGGTAGGTGGCAAGTGGGTGGTAGGTGGCAAGTGGGTGGTAGGTGGCAAGTGGAGGTAGGTGGCAAGTGGAGGTAGGTGGCAAGTGGAGGTAGGTGGCAAGTGGTGGTAGGTGGCAAGTGGGTGGTAGGTGGCAAGTGGAGGTAGGTGGCAAGTGGTGGTAGGTGGCAAGTGGTGGTAGGTGGCAAGTGGGTGGTAGGTGGCAAGTGGTGGTAGGTGGCAAGTGGTGGTAGGTGGCAAGTGGAGGTAGGTGGCAAGTGGTGGTAGGTGGCAAGTGGAGGTAGGTGGCAAGTGGTGGTAGGTGGCAAGTGGTGGTAGGTGGCAAGTGGTGGTAGGTGGCAAGTGGTGGTAGATGGCAAGTGGAGGTAGGTGGCAAGTGGTGGTAGGTGGCAAGTGGAGGTAGGTGGCAAGTGGTGGTAGGTGGCAAGTGGTGGTAGGTGGCAAGTGGAGGTAGGTGGCAAGTGGTGGTAGGTGGCAAGTGGTGGTAGGTGGCAAGTGGTGGTAGGTGGCAAGTGGTGGTAGGTGGCAAGTGGTGGTAGGTGGCAAGTGGAGGTAGGTGGCAAGTGGAGGTAGGTGGCAAGTGGTGGTAGGTGGCAAGTGGTGGTAGGTGGCAAGTGGAGGTAGGTGGCAAGTGGTGGTAGGTGGCAAGTGGTGGTAGGTGGCAAGTGGGTGGTAGGTGGCAAGTGGGTGGTAGGTGGCAAGTGGTGGTAGGTGGCAAGTGGGTGGTAGGTGGCAAGTGGGTGGTAGGTGGCAAGTGGGTGGTAGGTGGCAAGTGGGTGGTAGGTGGCAAGTGGGTGGTAGGTGGCAAGTGGGTGGTAGGTGGCAAGTGGAGGTAGGTGGCAAGTGGAAGTAGGTGGCAAGTGGTGGTAGGTGGCAAGTGGGTGGTAGGTGGCAAGTGGGTGGTAGGTGGCAAGTGGGTGGTAGGTGGCAAGTGGGTGGTAGGTGGCAAGTGAGTGGTAGGTGGCAAGTGGGTGGTAGGTGGCAAGTGGGTGGTAGGTGGCAAGTGGGTGGTAGGTGGCAAGTGGGTGGTAGGTGGCAAGTGGGTGGTAGGTGGCAAGTGGGTGGTAGGTGGCAAGTGGGTGGTAGGTGGCAAGTGGTGGTAGGTGGCAAGTGGTGGTAGGTGGCAAGTGGTGGTAGGTGGCAAGTGGTGGTAGGTGGCAAGTGGAGGTAGGTGGCAAGTGGGTGGTAGGTGGCATGTGGAGGTAGGTGGCAAGTGGGTGGTAGGTGGCAAGTGGAGGTAGGTGGCAAGTGGGTGGTAGGTGGCAAGTGGGTGGTAGGTGGCAAGTGGGTGGTAGGTGGCAAGTGGATGGTAGGTGGCAAGTGGGTGGTAGGTGGCAAGTGGATGGTAGGTGGCAAGTGGGTGGTAGGTGGGTGGCCGGTGGAGGTAGGTGGGTGGCCGGTGGAGGTAGGTGGGTGGCCGGTGGAGGTAGGTGGCCGGCCGGTGGAGGTAGGTGGCCGGCCGGTGGAGGTAGGTGGCCGGCCGGTGGAGGTAGGTGGCCGGCCGGTGGAGGTAGGTGGCCGGCCGGTGGAGGTAGGTGGCCGGCCGGTGGAGGTAGGTGGCCGGCCGGTGGAGGTAGGTGGCCGGCCGGTGGAGGTAGGTGGCCGGCCGGTGGAGGTAGGTGGCCGGCCGGTGGAGGTAGGTGGCCGGCCGGTGGAGGTAGGTGGCCGGCCGGTGGAGGTAGGTGGCCGGCCGGTGGAGGTAGGTGGCCGGCCGGTGGAGGTAGGTGGCCGGCCGGTGGAGGTAGGTGGGTGGCCGGTGGAGGTAGGTGGCCGGCCGGTGGACATGTGGAAGTGAGCAGCAGGCAGGCATGTGGTGTTGGGTTGTGAGTGGCTGGGTGGAGGTGGGTGGCAGATGTGTGGTGTGTCTTTCAAAAATATTCATATCTAGGTGTATCCACTGCCCTTTTTATTGTTATATTCCCAATATTTTACACTAGGTGCAATGCAGTGACACTGGACTGAAAGTACACCTGGAGTTGGTCCTGGGAATTCTACTCGGGCCAGGCTTGACTTATGATTACTTGGTCCAAAACACTTGTTTCTTGAAGCAGCCCACAGGCACACACTACAACCTGGTTGGTCCGGTATGTCTTGCATGAAAAAGTCTAAATTTTCTCTTGAACACTTCTACTTCTGAACTGGCAGTATTTCTTATGTTTGCTAGGAGGATATTCAATAGCCGTGGACCTTTGATGTGTATACAGTGGTTGTACCTATGGCACCTTTACTCTTCGCAGGATCTATTTCCTACGATATCTTTCAGTCCAGTACAGTATGTTGTTATTTTCAAGTTTAAGGCCTCAGGTCTCTCATTCTTGAGCACCACATTTGTAGTCATTCAGATGCCCAGGCATTCTCCATTTGCTAGTGACATTATACACAGCTATATTATAGATACTACACATTACATAATATATTGACCATCTCTTGCAGTGACCATGGTGAAATCTGCTTTGTTTAAATGCAATTTTACCGGGCATTTACTCTCCCAATACAGTACTTGCAGCAGATCTCCACTCAGGCTCAATTTTGTACTCGCCTTATTGTGCTTGCAAGGGTTAAGTTTCAGCTTTTTGGCCCTACCTCTCAACTTATAAACCGGTTAAATATGATTTAGTACTTACAATATGAGGTGCTGCTTGAATACCAACTGATCTCTTGATTCTTATTGGAGCAACGTACTGTCCTTTCCGAGACAAATGCTCAGCAGACAATCTATTCGTAACCTTTCTCAAGTCTTCAATCTATGAAACAGATAAAGAGAGTTGTTAAATTATGTAACAATACTAATACATTAATATAAAAATGTGAAGTACAGTGTATAATAGTTTCTAAAGAAAGAAATTATTCTGTCATTAATTTACAAAATTTCAAGAGCAAGAACTTCCCTATGTTGAGCAAAATCTTACATCACTGATGGAACTAATCCAGTATCACAGAAAGGAGACAAACACAGTATCTATGGCCTGTCAGTTACATGTGAACAACTCTCATAATGTCTTACCTCCTTATGAAATTGAGCGGTCTTCTTGCGGTTGCTTTCTAGTGTCGTCTCCAACTTCTCACACAGCTGTTTCATTTTTCCCAACTCGCACTGATAAAGAGTCTTCTCGCTGAATTGCCGCATGATCATATTCTCCAACTCCTATTGGGATAAATCATCATTACCTAATTTCCTACTTGAAATGGAATGAAATGCTGTAGCTCAGATAAGATATATAATATATATTATAATAATTACAATATTTTGATAGCGGTCATACTTTTAAACATATTTTGTTGAAAACGACATAGTTTTAGATTTATGATTCTGGCACGAATCTTCTCAATATTTCTTATGTTTTCTTTACTGAAGCAGGAAGTGGAAAAATAACTCTCCAAAGTTCATTTTTACAATTTTTATTAGGTTTGACACCTAGTGATGCGTTTCACAAGGTCACTCCTTACATTCTCAATGACAAATTCTACAGTGCTTAGCGCGGCTTTTATCATCTTATGATGAGGTGGTTAGGTAACATATGGATGAATAGGTAACATACAGATGAATGGCATTACATAGGGAATATTGATAAGGAATTAAATGTATCATCATAGTGTGAGACACGTTGGCAGTTTATGGTCTTCTGGCTGCTTCCGTTCCTGTGGCAGAGTCATTTGGTTCTCCTTCTGCATATTGAAGTGGGTAAAGTGAAATTGGATATTAGCTGGTTGTTTATTGCTGGCCTAGATGCGTATCTAGACCAGTAATAAACAACCAGTCATTGCACATACAGCATATTATATTATACATACATACATACATATATATCACCTCAAATGGCGAGCATTTTGGGTAACGATAGCCGACAATTCGTTTCGTATGGCGACCGCTCGTTTGAATTATGACAAGACCATTTGGTGGGGTCACGCTGCTTCTCGCACATTTTTGGACGCCTCCGATGATGCAAATAAATAATGTTTTTTTGTTTAAAGATGCTCATGATGCTGGGATATAAAGGGGTGACTGCTGATATGTTGCAATGCAATAATAATTTTTTTTTTTTTTTTTTTTTTTTTTTTAAATACAACAAATGTCAAAAAGGTTCGTTCGGTGCTCGGCATGTAGGCTGCTCCATGTTTCTTAAATAAAAAAAAAGACGAAAAATAAAAAAAAAATCTAGAAGTATCAACTTATACCTCAATTTACATCTTAATCCTTCGCTCTAATATGTCAAACCACACACACAAATAGCCATTAGTAAAAATGGATGCTATTAGCAGGATTGTTAAGCATGATTTCCCTTACCTAAAGCCATGATGATCTTTGTTTACATACCTAATCCATTTGTTGTGTAACTAGTCTTTGTCTTATTATTGTTTCAATTATTTTGCTGAAGATGCTCGCTAGTGATGGTGGTCTGTAGATAAGTGCCTTGTCTCTAGTCCCTTTCTTGTATATTATACCTCCTTTTCCGATTTATTGCAGCTGGCAAATTCTCTACAATTGTCACAGATCAATACTAGAGGTATGCCACAGGCCAGTGCTGCCGTTTTAACCTCTGTGATGCTCCGAGTTTATTGTGACATTCCCCGTGCGCATTAAATCAAGTGTTTGCAAAATTTTTTTCATCTTTGTAAAATGATAAATTCCCTTCCTTGAACACGTACACATAAAAAACTAAAAAATTCCACTTACTTTGGTTGTGGGGACATGGGAGAAGGAGGTGTCAGATGTGTCATGGGCTGGTCACCCGAGCGTGAAGCTCCCAGAGGCGGTCGCACAGGCCATTGAAGAACCGTGAGTTGCCACAAATATATTTTCAATTATTTGTTCTATGTATTTCCAATGCGGTTTTATTTGTTTATTTATCGTATATGATGCATATTTGTGTCCTTGACAATATTTACACAGTAAAACGTTCATAGTGTTCCATGGCACTGTGATACGTGTGTCAGTAATGTGTTCATAATAAATGTGTATTGTCGCAATATTACTTGTTCAAAATTCACTAAAATTATAATATGTAGTTTCACTCACTATATACACAGTAACACACTGTATTACACATTCTGTACTTCAGAAGTGAGTGATAATCAACGAAGCAGTCCATGGTAGACTGCGCGACTGCGCTCTCGTTGCACCAGGTACAAACAGATTTTCGTTTCCTGTTTCTTTGTTCTGTGTGCTTGCAAATAACACACTCACTCACAAATAACACACTCACCCTTGGCTTTAGTACCTGTAGGTGGTATGAAGCCAAGCTTGTCAAGTGTAAGGTAATCTTGAAAAGATTATAGGAAAATATCAATTTGTAAGGTAGTCTTGAAAAGATCACTTTGTAAGGTATTGTGGAAGAGATTCAGTCATACTGGAAGAGGTTCAGGTATTCTAGAAGAGATTCAGCCATTCTTGAAAAGATCTATGGAAAACACCACCATGGAAGCCACTAATACTGCTCATCTATGCAACTTTTATCAGATGCATCATCACTGAACCCAGAAAACGATTCATCGATCATCTATAAAAATTAGAGATAACACGGGGTGGACATGGATGGCACTCGGCTACCCATGCTGATACAGGGATAAGCTCGCTCCCTGTATCGTCGTCATCTGTGCTGTAGCACTTGCATCCGACCCTTGTGTTAGGTCCTTATTGTGCCTAGCTTCATCAATACAATGACCCTTATGTTCTTCAAACAATAAGGTCTGAATTACACTGACAGCGCAATCTTTCAACACCACATCAAACAGGTGTTTGGGAGCCAGAGGTGCATGCGCCACCCATGGTTGCTCACTTGGTACTAAGCCAGCCATCAGCCCTAGGGCATTCTGGGATTTTTTCCCAAGACGGCTGCCTCTCACTAGAGGTCCCAAGAGTTCATTTCAAGCACGTTTTGAATGAGTACGAAATATTAAAAAGGTGTTTTCTAGGTTGGCGTAGTTTCCCACCGACTGAGTTTTCTCGGTTGGCGCAGCACAGTGGCTAAACATCCAGTGTGTCATTATCTGGTCTAACAGCTTTAGTATCATCTAGCAATGCTAGTTGTCTCCTTACTTCCTCTGTTACCTTAATATTTGTCCATTTCTCATTTAGGGTTACCATTCCTCTTCTAGTACTGGGAGCTGTTCAGGCTCAGTCACATAAACAATCCATGGAAACTGGCAATTAATTTATTACAAATTTCCTTTCATTTCCTGTATGTTCTTCTCTCTCATGTAATCTAGCCACTTGTTATTCACTGTCATTTTCCTAAGTTTAAGGTTATGTAGTAACATCGGTTGTTTCTTTGTTTTGGATACAACGCCATTTTGAGTTGTTACTGATATTTTTCTTAAGTTTATGTACTTGTTCCTATTCCGGTTCTCTTGTGACCTTTGTCCTCTGTATTTCTTCCACTTTCTCCTGTTATATATTTTAGCTTCTTGGCATTGTTTATTAAACCATGGGTTATTATGTTCCCTCAAACTTTGTTACCTTACTGTTAGTATGAATCTTTTTATTTTTTTGAGCCTCTTTGCATCTCCATTTAATTTGATCCATCATTTCCTGCACCGTCTTACCCATCAGTTCTTCCTCCCTTTGTATATTTTCTAGATTCTCTTAATCTCATGTAATTTCTTTTTTTGTAGTCTATTCTTCTCTACCTGACCCCTTGTCTTATTGGTCACTGTTTTTAGTTCAATCTGATAGTCAAAGACCAAAACTCAATGGTCACTGCCTCCTCCTAGTGTTAACTCGTGTTTCAAAGTTTTCGATGTCTTCATTATTCTAAGAAGATCATGTCCAGTAGACTAAGTGATCTCCAATTTATCTCGTGTCATGTTTTACATGTGTTAAGAAGACCTTCATAACTTTCACTAATTTTGTACACCACATTTCTTCCTAATTATGAGTTTTTCTAATCCCATTCTATCTCTGTGATTTAGGACCTCCAGAGCTAGAGTTTTGCTTTCATTTTGTGTGGTATAGTTGCAGCTCTCTGCAGTTCATCTATGCATGATTTGCTGGTGTCTTCATATATTATCACAAGCCACTATCTTCTATTGACAGAGTCAATAGAAGATACACAGGGCTACTGACAGTCAAAGTCTGTGTGTGTCTCTCTCTGTGACAGTCAAAGTCAGTCTGTGTTTCCATTTGTATTTCCATCTTCAATTTCCTCATATATCCACTTTCCCTTTACTAGCAGTACTACTCTTCCTCCCAGGCTTTCCTTCCTTTCTTTCTTTCCTTATTAATTGGTCATTCCTCTCCCCCCCCCCCCACACTCCTTCCTGAAAATATTGCATCTAAAATAATGTAATTTATTTGGATTTCCAATTTTGTCCCACTTTTAATAACCATTTCATTTATTTCCTCTGCTTTGTTTGTAACTTCATCGTCATTGGTATACCACATCTTGAGGCTCTTCTTGAACACATTGTTTCCTCAATTCTCACAACGTTCCTGTTGGTTGTGAGCAATAAATAAGGTACAGTGCTGTATGTGATGAGTGATTATGAAGTAAGAAGAGGTTGACAGTGAGAGAGGGAGGCTATGAGATGTAGAAATTTAGAGATAAATATTGTGACCAAGAGGAAGAGAAGCAGTGATGGCGTGTTGTATGTTAACCATCGAGTGGAAGCTAGAGAGGGGCTGGAGGGAGAGGGCTGAGAGTAGAAATGGGGCTAGTGATAGATTTAACATCTATAATTAAACTATAATGTATAGATTGAGTATGGCTTGCTTTTCCCTATTTCACATTCCATTATGCAGCATTTATTTACACTGACTTGCATTTCCCATGTGCTGCTCAATTCCTGTTGCAATTTTGTCCAGGTTATTTTGAAGGCTATGGCAGTCATCCAAGTCTTTTACTTTCCATGTTCACATCTGCAAATTTATTCGTGTAACTCTGAATCTCCTCTGGTAGTGTTTATATTAGACAATGAACATTACTGAACTGAACTGAACCTTGTAGTATTCCACTAGTGATATTTTTTGTCTCATACATTCCTTCTAGTTACTGCTCATTTTTCTGTTGTACAATTTTTCATCATTCAGATGATGAAAACATCTGAATGTTTTCATTCATGTGAATGAAAGTTAAAAAAATAAAACATCATTTCACCTTCAGAATAGCCTCTTGTGTGGGACTTTGTTAAAGGCCTTTTTTAGGTCCA